TGCTCTTGGCTGGTGAGTTGTCACAGCAGATGTCCCGTTCTGCAGACCCTTTAACCAGTGCCACTGTGGGGCAAGTGATAATGAAAAGTTTTTCTTTCAGGACCTGTCCGGATACATGGATTTTTAGTCTACTGTTAAACTCTTAAAGTTATCAGAGGTGGAGTAGGTGCATGACAGTGGTTAAATCACGCTCCTTCCCTTCCTTAGCATCTTGCACAGCTCTAGATTCCCTGTCCCCTCCTCCGTCTCCTCTGGACTCCATCCTGTCTTCAGCATAACCTGCCGCTATTGCAATATGCAGAATGCTCACGATCTTGTTTAAATTTTAATACATACAATAAAGGACTATTTCCTCAAATTACTTAGGATAAAGTATTCAGAAGGAGCAGAAAAAATGTACAGAGATGCTTGAACTTGATGAAACTATAAGCGTATGGGAAAGTGCTATTGGATGTGGAATGGCGTTAAAAATGTGGGAGCATAAGTTTCAGGGCACCTTGGAGTTTTTGTGTTTTCTGGAAACTGGGATTCCAAATATGCTTCTTAACTTCCCTTTTGAACATCCTAGCAGTAGCTACTGCCTTTATAAAGAGATTTTTGCCAAAACAGGCCCGATTATCTAAATGTACATGTGGCATTAATGGAGAAAATGGTAGAGAAAGTGAACAAAAACACAACAGGGGAGGAAATGCACTCACAGTGATCGCTGCAAGCTGCAATGGAATGCTTGAGCATCAAAACCAGGCTTATTTTCTGAACAATTAAACTAGAGTTTATTTTCTCAGTATTTTACTGAAACTGTCCTTCCGTGTAAGGCGCATCTCAATGAGCAACCTGTTATCTCTGCCAAGGGAGGCTTCTAATGAATGCCCCGCTACTGTTTCCTGGGCAAAATTGACTGTTTTGTGAAAGGCAATTTGAACTGCAAGGTGGGGCTTCAGGTGATCTCCTTTTGGCTCAAGATTAATCATAAAACAAAGTTTAAACTGTCACATTACATGGCTGATTTGGAATTCTTTTTTAACAGGGACTCCTGTTTTTCAGGAGTAGTTTCTATCTATAATCTCTGCCTATGTATTCTGTGGCTTTATTAAATCTATATGCTAAAAGTTTGCTAGTGGGCATCGACACTAAGGACTACATCCTGTAACCATGGAAATACATATTTATTTGCATGTGCGATATGCTTTTTAAAAGGGGAGAAAATTGAGCACTCTTCTTATATTCTAATTAGATCCTTTTTCTTTGTGGCTGATCATTTGTGCAGTTGGCAAAGACTGGTAACTATTTTAAGCCAGCCAAATGGAGAGCATCCGTCTTTTAGTCCAGTCTGGACAGAAGTTTGCGGGTTAACAGAAGAGGGTAACTTGATGATGCAGAATGTTTTCAAGAAAGCATGAATTTCAGAAAGTAACTCTTCAGTCTGAGATTCTCTTGCCTGTTAGAAGGGGCAATGGATGCATTTCACTGACTTAAGTGGGAGATGCAAGTCTGAAGCTGCAGTAACACTGATAAGTAGTTTCAGTGTGTTTCAACATCACAACAAAAATAGCATAAATTTTCTTGTTTGCCACGATAGTTCAACCTGTACATCTAAATCACTATCTTGAAAAAACATGTGCTGGCATGGTGTGTCATTCTCTCCATTACATCAGGTGAATTAAGGAATGTTAGAGAAAGTCCCATTCTTCCTCACTATATCCACCAAGAGAGCAACGTGTTCATCGGCTGCCTGTTTTATCTCTACGAAGCAGCAGGGTGCAGCACTAGAGACGTTCCTCCGGTTCCAGCACCAACTGGGCACTTCACAGACCCAGAGCTCTGCTTTCAGCATTGGAAATTACTGAGACTGCCAGAATCACTGAGACTCCACTTGCTGCAGTTGAATTCTTCTGGACTGAGACATTACAGAATCCCAAGTCTCTGTCATTGGTGAGCGTTATATGCCTACAAGGATTTCAGAAACGTGGTCTTTCCTACGTTTGATTGCCTGCTTATATCAAGTTGCCGTAAGGTGCTTGCGTTTACAGTGTGACTAGGGGTCAAGCAGACCTGTAGTCAGACTTCTAGAGTTCTGTGAACTAATGGTGCAAATCAGTTAAAGAAATTGATGGAAAATATGAGAAAGAGTTCAGCCTGCCTGATGCTAGCATTGCAGGATCAGTTAGTGCACTTGCTACAGGCATTGTGTGACGTGAGACCAGGGATGAAAGAAAAGAGAAAAAAGGAAAGGCGTTGCCCTACAAGCTTTATTTTTGTCTTATCAGAGAACTCTTTAAATTAATCTCCCCTCCTTTCCTCCTCCACAAAAGAAAACTGAGTATGTAAAAAAAAAAAGCCACAACCCTGATACAGTCTTGTTGGCTTCTGTGGTGAAAAGCTGTACAAAATCTCTTCCCGTTTGCAGCAGGACGGGGTAGTTAAAACTATTCCTTTAGGTAACTGATAGCTGTTGCAACATGAGGTTTACAGCTGCCTCTGTGAACAGAAGACTTGTTTCAGCTCACAGAGGAAACGGCTGCTGCATTAAGAATGAACACCACAAGAGTGAATGAAAAATGTTTGCATAGGAATTACATCCTCTTAGGTTTCATAACTCAAGCCTTCTTACATAAATGCCAGCACATTTGGTTTAGAAACCAGAACAAGAGAGGGCATATTAGGGCTTCCTGGAGCCTGTGTGTGTGTGGGGAATACAGAACTTCACATTAGCATCCTCTTCAATCACAGCTTGCTGCTTACTCCTGTTCTGGCTTACGGCTTATCTCTCATCCCTTTCATTGTGGCTAGTGTTTTTATCAAGGGCACCATCTCCATGGCATCTGCAGAGGAAATTATAATTTTAACTTGATGCTTTTTTTTTTTTAAGTCAGTTGGTGGACAAGATCTTGAATAATCAGGACTTAGTGGCACTAGTATGCTGGGAGCACCTGCGTGGTGACTTAGTATGAAATCACGCGGTGAAACTACTTTTCTGCTTCACATAATTCATATCGATTGACACTGTACTTTCTTCCTGAGCAGGTATTTGTGGTGATAAGATGGAGCCTTCCCCGTTTAATAGAAGACAATGGACTTCACAGTCTCTGAAAATCACTGCAAAAGAGCTTTCTCTAGTCAACAAGAATAAGTCATCAGCTCTTGTGGAAAGGTTTTCCAAGTAAGTGCTGTGAGGCTGCTGAACACAAGCTGTGAGTGTAGGTTGACAGCTGGTAGCTTTAACAATGACTGTTTCCCTGACAGTTGCTTCGCTTCTTAAAAATGATACAGATCTGTAGGCATTTAAATTTTTGGTTTAATATGTGCTGGGCAAAAGTTTTTCTAGTTGCTGACATTATATTGTGTCTGCAATGAGAATTACAATATCTTTTTTCTGCTGTCAGAAAATAAAGTAGAATGTTTTCTGTCAAACTACAAATTACAATTTGCTTTTGAGGGCAGAGTATTGGAATGTAGGAGGCTATTGCCATTAGGGTTTTACTTCATCGGAAACAGTCTTTAACTGCTTAAGCATGAACTACATAGGTTTCTCTGCTAACATGGCATTTCCTGCCTGGTACTATAAAAAGTAGCAGTAATGTGTTATCAGTTAATTGGAGACCAGTTAGAAATGGTAGTGCTGTCAACTGGTGGTGATAGATGTAACCCCCTAGTAACAGTTCCGCTAGAGAATTTCACAGTAGCTATGTTCTTCACAGATGTCTCCTTCCAGGTGTCTCACAAAACTTCTGTAGAAAAGGAATATTACCCTTAGCTTTTCTCTGAAGGATGGATGATGGGTTACAATCAAATCATAAAGTAATAATTTATACACTGAGAAAGCTGAGTGGTGGTAGCCTATACATGTTTTCTGGAAAAGCTTTTACTTCCTTAAGGAATTATATAGACTAATCAAGTCTCCTAATTTATTACATTAATAGTGTAGCAAAGTTTTGGAGTATTTAAATCTTGAGTGTGGGAGAAACTTCACGGAGTCTATAGGGGAAGGATAATTGCAATCTGGACTTCACAAACATAGCTCTTTAAGTTACACGTTAAGTACTCTATCCTAGCTTGCTTTGACTGCTCTTGTTAAGGGAATTTATTCACTCATTGAAACTTGATTACAGAACCTGGTCATCTTGCTAAATGTTGATAATCCTTTGAAAAGGGCTTACTGGAAGTAATCCAAACTGCTACTCCTTAATCAAGTAGGGTCCCTCTACAAAAGCAATGTCAGTTCCTCAGAAAAATGGAGTCCTACTTACTGGCCTCGCCAACACCGACACTCATAGTGAGGAGCATAATTTTTCTAAATTGCTGTGACCTAAATATTTGTATGTGAAAACTTTTTTTTCATTCCATATAGTGTTTAGATTATTGCTTTTGTCAGGTCAGAGACATGCAAATTGCAACAGCAGAGACTTAAACAGTGCACTGTGGTGGGCTAACTTACAGAGTGAGTGTGGTCTGGGACTCTTCAATCCTTGTTTGTTTTCCGGTGTGATACTTGACTTTCATCCCCATGTCTCTTGTTGTTGCTACTTCCAGTATTAATCTTTCTTCCTCCATAAGCTTACTTTCTCAGGACGTCTTGGTCAAATTTTGGAACCTTTATAGTACAGAGACATAGGTTAATATGTTTGCATTACTTAAAGAGGGCCAGCTACACTCCATTAGCAGCTCTCAGTCTGTACAATAAATGCAGCTTGTGGAACAGAAATAAGTAACGTTGCAATTTGTCTACTCTCTAGTGTAACAAGAGGGGAAATCTAAATAGGAGCACACTATTCACAGCAGGAAAAAAAAATCAATTGTTAAAAAAGGAATAATAGAGCAGGTTTCTGCATGTAAGAATTTTTTTCTTAGAAGGAACTGAGCCCATTACTTCTAAGGAAATACACATTATTTATTGGTTTGATACTGGCAATTATTTAAAGTCTAAAGCTGATGACTTGTAATATTAGTGTCTCATTTACTGCCTGTAACATATTCACAGTTGTATCAAAAGTAGAATTCCACAGATAAGAAAGACAGGAACATCATTTGCCCAAGCAGATGTTGGATGGTGTTTCTTCTCTTTGAAAAGCAGAGGTCTACCTAAAAATGGCAAAATCTGTCACATCTGACTCATTTGTGCATTTCAAAAGCAAAGTGCAATCCCCTTGCGCAGTACACTAATCAGCGCGGTCCGTGTGCTCCTAGCTGAGGATGTACTTACGCCCAGTGGAGTGGTGTGCAGATTGCTGGGAGTTTTCTATAGCTTCTTAAAGGACTTTGATTCATGATCCAGGGTGGCTTATCTTCAGAGGGCTGTGATTACTGCTTCCACTGCTGGGATGGTTCAGCTGCTCATGAAGCAACTGCTGAATTGGTGCAGTTTACAGCCCAGCATAGTAAAATAAACTGGCACTTATGTAGATTTTCTGCGTATGCCAAGCTGTAATTTGTAACGGTTCAACAGCTGCTGTATAAATAGCTGAGTTACTCCTGCAAGGGGGCACAGCAGACAGCTGGGTGGCGGAAACAATACAGCTATTCCAAGGTAAACTGTCTATATTTGAGAATCGGAGTGCTTTGGTAATGAAAAGTATTAATGTATGCTGTTACTGTAAACTGAATGACTTAACATGTGTCTGTCACTTTGCATTGTTCTGGTACTATTTGCTACTATTTTTCCAGCCTCTGGTTTTGTTTGATAGGTCTGGGAAGTGCACAGAATCCTTGGTGGGGAAAAAAAAAATATCTTAGTTGTCTTGAAGAGCATTCAATGTTCTGGTTAAAAACTGTTTGTGATTTGTTTGGTTTTTTCTCTCTTTCCTCTTCTGTAAAGGTATCAGAAAGCGGCTGAAGAAGCCACTGCTGAGAAAAAAAGAAGTGTAAGTATTTGTTTCCTAGGCAATAAGCAACAGCCTGCAATCAGAACGGATCACCTACATGCAATGTTTCTGTGACAGCTGATTTTTTTGAATGTCAAAGTTGTTGCCATGTGTCCTGCAGAAAACTGGCTTAGACACAGTGTTTGCTTTTGACTCACTCCCCCTACCCTTTCCTAGTGTGAATGAAAGGAAAGAAAATCAAGTGTCTTGCCCAAAGCTATATGTTGAATCATGAATTCACTCCTAAGCAAAAGGCAAAACGAGTTAACCACAACACATGAATACCCACCTCTTTGTTCTTAGCTGTAGGCAGTTGTGTGGTACATTTTTCCTTTCTTAACTAAATTTAAAAGTCTGCTTAAAAGAAGCTGCCAGCCTCTCTGAAATCCAACGTGTGTATCTTTGATAGCTGGAGAATCCATTAAGGGGGATCTTCTCTGAAATGGCTTACAGAGTTCAAAATGCCCCATTACAGCCTTGCATTCCCTCCTGTAAACTACATTGCACTTACTGTTCTGGGGTCAGGGGACCCTGACTGAAATACCAGGCTCTAAGATTGCAAGTCTTTGTATAAACAGATCCTCAGTTTAATTTTTATTTAAAAAGACCAGCAATGTTTTCAGGATATATAGGTATGTCTTTGTTAGACCATGCTGCCTTGATCTCGCTAGTGCTTGGGGAGTCACTCTCTGTTCGGGATACAGGTGTGATAAAATAAGCATTCTAAAAATTACTGTCCAGTCTTATATTCTCTTCATGGCTTGTATGATCAGGGAACAGGCAAGTCCCAAACAAGAATGACTTGTGTTATGACGTATCTGGGACTCCATAGGCGTCATGTCTAGAAGTGTTCCTGTGGAAACCTGCTGCGCAATTTTGAGTACTTCTGTTACGTTACGACATTTGCCGTATAACTTTAGTACTCTCTTTTAAATACAATCAGCAAGCAAGCTGATCTTTTTTGAAGTGCAGGTGAATTCAAGTTAATTTGCAAAGCAGTATTCAAAATGTGACCAGAAGAGTAATAGGGTGAGAGACTTAAATCCTAATATAGCTGCTAATCCTGTTTAATTCCTGTAAGCCTTGCAGACCTGTTCCACTTGCAATGAGTTTGATACATAGTGGTCTGCACAAGGGAGAGACAGCAAAAATGCAGTGGTGGTGGGTATTAGATTTGAATGAATCAAATATGGGCTGGTCTGTTTCTCTGGGGAGAGGTAACTACTTCTAAGCAAAACTAGTCTGAAAAGCATTTGAATACGAGGAGTACTACTGCTCCATGTATTACCATCTAACTTGCAGTGGTAAGACAGTGCTTGTGACTTGTGTGCGTGTTTCCTGCCGAGAGCTTTCAATGGGTTGAGTGAAATAGAAGAAAAATTCCAGCAAGTGATTTGGTATTTATAAATGGGAGTAAAAAGACATTTGTTGTCAGTGCTTAGCATGAACCTTACACTGCGTGGTATAAAATACTGAAGACAGACCTCCTGTAACTGAACATACATAACTCCAAAAAACGAGTGGTTTCTTAAAGCTAATCTGTAGCATTTCGGAAGGCCTACAAATTGTTGTCTTCTGAACCAGCTGGAAGACATTGCAACATTTGGCACAGCACCCATCTCTCATCTGGCTGCTTTTGCTATTGTTTGCTTGTTCTAGGACTAGAGACCCTTGTTGTGTGGATTTTGGTCCCCCTTCCTTCATGTGTGGATTTAAGCCTTTTGTGTGTCATTTAACTCATTGGAGCTTGACTCCCTTTTTCCTTATAAGGCCATCCTGTTTGCTCACTTCCTGCTTTAGCTCCTGACTTTTCTCTTCTCCCCCCTCCTTCCTTTCCTATCCTGGATGCTTTCTCCATGTGGCACAGTTGTAACTGTTCACAGCTGTCTGAAAAAGCAGAGAGCTGAGATCAGTACTGAGCCTTTAACTTCCTTTCGCATAGAAAGGAAGCGCTTTAATGCTTCATCAGGCATATAACTGGAATTAACTTCTTGTGCTTTGTAGAACACAGAAAGTCTTCCCCCTCATTTTAAAAGGGGGAATCTGAGTGTACTGAAGAAGAAGTGGGAGAATCCCGTGCTGGGAACAGAGTCTCGGAAGGAAACGCTACGAAGCAGCTGTGCTGAGGTTAGGCACAAGGTCGCCAGCCCCGGGCTCGGAGCCGGGAGCAGTCCTGCTTCTTCCCTCGGCGCGGAGCAAAGCCCGGCGGCTGGTGCTCCATCTGACGCCCAGGCCTCTTCCAGCACCCCTGGCCAGCTGCAGTGTCCTGGTGGTGACAGCAGAAAGTTTCAAGCCCACTCACCGGAGAGTGGTAAAATGGAAAACTGTCTGAGAGAGTCCAGAGAAGTGGAAAAGCCTGAAGCCAGCGAAAACACGGACTCGTCGGGGAAGATCGAGAAATACAGCGTTCCGCTGAACAAACTCAAGATGATGTTTGAAAAGGGTGAAGCGACTCAGACCAAGGTAAAGATCTGTCCCTTCAAATCTTGGGAGAAACTAAAATTCTGCTGCCCCTTGGGCATCAGGAAAAGTCCCTGGAGGGAGTGGCTCCAAACTATTGACTCTGCAAATAATTGTATTCATTGTTTTAGTTGAAACATAATGTAGCTGTGTTAATAACTTACTTGAGCTATACAAATACGTGCAGAGTGCTTGGATTTGGGGCTATTTGTGATTGCTTATTGCGGATGTGAAAGGGGTACAGTTTAAGAGAGGAAAATAAGTATGGAATTTATTAAGTTGTTTTTTTAAAGCAAGTTGGGATTATTTATAACTTGTCTGAAGATTAAGATGAGTTACGTAAACATGAATTCTGTAAAAATATATATGCATATGTTTATGTATAAAGGAAAAAGTAACTGAAGTGAGCTCAACAATCTCAGGCGCTTGCAGTTGAGATGGAAGTACTGCCAGAGTTAAGAGGTTTTTTTATATACATATCAGTATGTGAGTCACACATATGCACATATAGAGATATATGTAAGTCCTGTGAAATACGCTCATCTTTTCCTTGCTGTTCTCTCATCTTTGTATCTTAACAAATGTTTCTTATTGAGACGGGGGGGACCTAACCCAAAAAAATCCTCACGGGGAAAAATAAGCAGAGATAGCCAGACAAGCTCCTGCCTTCACTAGTTTTGACTTGCAAATGCACAGGGCTTGCATTTTCCTACAACTGCTCATGAAATCTGATCCTGCATGTGGACTGCAGACTCTGTGTCCCGGGGGAGAATTGCTTAACTAGAAAATGAGTTGCATATGCTAGTGACTTGCAACATAGTCCCGAGGCCTTGATGCCGGTGGATTTTCCAGTTTTCTCATAGTTTCCTATACTTCTGGCTTTGTTTTACTGTGGGTGGTTTTCTTGCAGTATTGAGTAAAACAAACACATTTTGTACAAAAGTTGTTTAAATATGTAACAGTTAAGGGCTTTAGAGGAGCATCTCTGTGTTAAAGCGAGTTTTGGGTTTGCATATCGTAATTTCACAACTTAGATTTTTGTAGTCTTTGTCATTCTGTAAGAGCTGCCCATAGCATCACGTCCATTGAAAGGGCGGGCTGTGGAGGGCGATCTCCCGATAGCACTTCTCTGAACTCTTGCTGTAGGATTAATCAGTCAGGATTCCACAGGAAAGTACCGTTTTGCAGATGGGCTTCAAGTAACTTTATCTTAGCCTGGGGAATAAATTGTTTCGGAGCCGATTGAATCTGGAACTGCTATTTCTGTCAAGTAAATTCAAGTATTGTCGAAAACCAATTGAACACAGTAAACACCATACAGTAGGTATGAAACTCTTCAGGTTAAGTTCAAGTTATGTTACTATTCCAAGTTAATCTAGTTACTTTTTAATTTCAGAAGGGAAAAGGCAAGAAGTGCTCTAACGTTCAAGTTTAGGGGGGGTGTCTTTGTAATTAGAAAGCACTATTGTAAGATTTCTGGTTCTGGGAATTTATCTGAGGACTGGAGGATGATGTCATGCAGTCACGTACAATGAAGATAGTTAGGCCCTGTGGAGACACGATCTTTTTCACTAAGGTAGGATACAGCAACACTTCCATTTATGCTTTTCCTGAAGTCAGTCCATTGATAACCCCCTGATTTAAGTGCAAGCAAGGCTTGAGCTGAGAGGTGGCAATTTTCCTTGGTATTTACTTCAGTCTTAAGGTATAAGCACTGTCAGAGCTTTGCTGACAAAACATCTGTATAAGCTAAGTAGAAACATGGCTGTAGCTTCATAGCAGTAAAGTTAAAACAACTTGCCTGGTTGCTGGGCAAGGCTGTGGCAAGAATCCAGATTAAAGCCTGGATTTCCTGACTCCATCACCCACTCAGAACAAACCTATTCTTATTTTCAGGGCTATAAGCAGTTTATTAATTTATTCATTCAGATCTTGCTCTGTCTTCTGCAACTTAGATACATGGCAGATCTTCTTTCTTGCATCTTCGTGGAAAAAAAATGCTCTAACCATGTAAGAGGCAGGCATGTTGGTCTAGATTGGTTCAGCACTAAGCAAAGACTGAACATGAGGTCTTCTATCTATTTCAAAGAATTCTTCCTGTAAGTGATAGTGAAAGCATACACAAGGAAGATCAGAAGAAAAGAAACAGCTAGCAGATCTGCAGTACTTCTTAAAAAGCTGTCTCCAAGATGGTCTGTGTTTTTCCTTTAAGGCAAAAGCTTACTGTCTTGTGTAGGTAGCCTCATGTGCAGGGTCACATTTGACACAGTTAGTATATAATGAAATAGGTGTAACTTTTATTTGGTCTTTTGCCCAACAACTCTCTGTGCCCCAGGCAAAATGCTGTTAACTCTCTTTGTGGTACCTCTGCACTCGCCTCTTTTGTCTTAGAACCTTGGGGCTTTCCAGACGTGAGGAATATTTTATCACAGCAAGTAGCAGAAGCTGTGGCATGGGAATCATGGCCCAGCCAGGACAGTAAAGGGAACTGAGTGGCATATGCATAACGTTGGGAGTCAGGGATTCCTTCATGAAGGTCCTACAGAGTCAAGCAGAAGAATCCGATTCTGCTGAATATTGAATCCTTTGCTGTTGATAAAAATATGGAGGTTTTTGGTTGCTTGAAAGAAAACTTTAACTTTGTGCATGCATCTAGATGAGGTGTTGGACCATGATCCAGAATTCCTGTTAGTGGGCACTAACTGAACACTTGTCATAATTGTTTGACAACACACCAGCCCTTTGCCAACTCTTATTTAGAGGTTTGATTTGTTTAATAATTATTTCAGCAATAATTGAGAATTCTTTGTCTTCTCCATGTGAGTGCGGTTCAAGAGAAGGACTACAGTGAAAATAAATGGAAATGAGATTCTGAAACAAAGCAGAATGAGAAGAGGAACCCAAACAAGTTTCCAAGCTTGATTTCTAACTGTCTTTTTCTCCTGAAAAGTGCTGATGGTTTCTTTCAGTGAGGCTGGAATCCCAGATGCTGGATCTAAATTACCTGAATCAAGACCTTTGTTTCCTAGTGGTGAAAACTTCCTTATGCGCTCTGCTGCTAGTTAAACTTCCCATGTGTCTATACTGCAAACTTGTTTTTTCATTTGTAGCTTTGTTACTCCTGCTGTGTGCAAGAAAATGTATGTGTGCCACGTTATTTAAAAAAAACAAACCCAGGGCAGTGATAAAATAGTCAGGAGCTTCGAGTGGGCTAATAAACATGTTTCCTCTTCTGTGTCCTCAAAGGATGTTGTCTTCAAGTTGTATTCTGCCTATAATGATCTTCTTTGTATACTAGTCAAAAGCTAGACCCTTTGAATGACGAATTTTTGAGTTGTAAGAACTTCAGTCTTGGGGGCGCAAGGTGACATTAAAGCAGATATTGACCGACTAAGAATCATCTAAGGATAATTTGCACAGAATGAGGAATCTGCAAGTCCTTACAAGTGTGTAGACACTCCCAAGCTGAACCTATCAACACACTCACTGGAAGGAAAAGACTTGTCATAGCTAAGCTCTTTTCCAGTAAGAAAAGTTACCAAAGTTTTAAACCACAGAAATAGAAAATATTTCCCATTCTAATGGAAAAAGAGGTTTCCAGCTGCATTTTCCTTTCCTGGTAAAGTTGCTGTTTTGTATGCCAAAGCAGCCTGATTTTCCACAGTGATTATCTTACAGTGCAGTTCTGTTAAAATAAAACTTTGGAATTTCCTTCAGTTTGGTGACCAGCAAATGAGAAACTTGTTGGAAGATGGGTGGAATGTGTGGTTGGAGCATCTTGCCAAACCTGCCTTTCACCCTACATTAGCCTCAATCTTCATTTCCAATGGGCTCTGTGATTTAACTCTTCCTAGGGAGGGAACAAAGATCTATCACCTTTTAGCATTTTATAGGTTGACTTTCAGCTGTGAAAACATCCTATCTTGATCAAGTCAAATTAAACTGTGCACTTCATGAGTATTTATCAAAGCTGCTGAAATTTCTTTTCACAATTTCTTTTATTGAGCATTAGATTTTGGGGAGTTGGTCTCAACAAATGAGTATCAAATCTGATTGAGTCAGCTAGAGCATCTGTGTGTGGTAGTGCTACAAAACATCCTGTCCAGCACTGCAGCCTTACAGATAGTGATTATACTGGATATCTGAGAATATCTCTCTTTAGCACTTTCCTGCTTAAGCTTCAGCCTTATCAGGCCTAATTAGAGAATTATTTGGTACCAAATGCATGAACTATCCAAATCAAAACAAATAACTTCAGATAACTTCTATTATATTAGTATTTATTCTTCTTTCTGTTGCTGAAAATCAATGCCGATTTTTGATACCTTGCTCCTTTCATCCTTTTTCTGATTTTTAAATCTTCATAAAATGACCTTGAACATTAGCTTCAAAAGAAATTGTATGAAATGCAGAAACTAGACTGAAGTTTTGTATTTGCAGTGGTAAATGCCTAAAAATCTGATCTCTGTGGTTCTTTGACTTGTTAACAAAGATAGTCAAAGGGCATCTACTGACCTCTTCAAGAAGGCGTTTTCCAGGTGACAGAGGGTCAGGTAGTCTGTGATCAAACTTTACACTGGTTAAATAAGATGTCACCTGCCAGACTTGTTTATTCCGGTAAAGCAGATTTGCTAGTGACACCTGTGCATCTTAAGGGATTATACGCAACAATCTTTGTTTGTCCAGGCAGCTGATAGGTGGGTCTTGTCTCTAACAGGTCTTAAGAGACCAGAGGAAGACCGCAGTCGGTAGGAGGATTTCTGAAAACAGCCTCTCTTCAGAGGACTTTGATGTTGGCCAAGGAGAGAAGAGCCATAGTACATCAGGTCAGTAAACCTCGTGGTTTGTGTTTTGGTTTGCTTTTTGTTTGGGGGTTTCTTTTTTTTAGTTTGTAAAATAAAACTGCTTTTCAGAAATGGAAGGAAGTACAGATATCTTCTATCTGTAAAGTCCACATGAGCATCACATTTAATGAATTAAGTCTTGCTGTGAATTTTAAACCGATACACTCTTAAGCATGGGAAACCAAGGCACAGGAGATAACCAGCAAGTTAAGGAATGGAGCCCATTTTTGCCCTGTGCCTTAATCCTAGGACAATCCTAGAATTACTTTTAATAGTCAAACTAATTTAGAAAGTAGTGAACAAACAGACAAGGCAATATGCCTTCTTCCTTCTTGCTTTAATTCTCATCCCTCCTACCTTGCCCCAACATGGGTAACTACAGCTAGTCTTACGACTTGAGCAAAATTACATGTTTTTCATATGTTTGGAGACTCTTTTCTAACAAAGCATTTACAATCTTTTGTGTTTTCAGCATATGGCTAATATTGTATCTCACTACTTAGTGATGCACATTGTGTCCTTATTTGAGCAATACTGGAGAGAATGGCAAGAACTACTTGCATTTTTTTATTGTCCCCAAGAGGACCTTAATGATTCATACAATTTTTTAGTGATTGAAGGCCACTAGCTAGTGAAAGGTAATTTTTTTTATCATTCTTTATTGAACAATTAAGCTATTGCTGAAGACGTGACCATTATTCAAGGAAGTTAGATAGCAGAGCAGTCACAGGAGCTGGCTTTTTAAACCTAGTTGGCTAACATCTGACAGCAAAAATGAAAGACGGATGGCAAGTAATGGGGTATAGTTCCAAGAGTCAGGAGATCTGGACCTATGCAAAGACTTAAGCTCCCAAATACTTCTATCCTCTTGAGATAAAAACAGATGCCTCAAATGATCCTGCGAGACTAAACTGAATTATTTTATAACATGTTTGTTCTTGAGATCCTCATCTGTAACATGTCATGCAATAAATTATTTTCATGGAGAAGGTGGAAGTGGCAAGTGAGACTTCTTCCTCGCTTCCCATGTTTCCCCCAAAAGACTTTGACAACCATTCCACTACAGGAATGATGAGTACTTCCATTTAGCCACTGTAGCAGCTGCTTTCATTTGACAATAACAGCAAAACAATCTTCAGTGTTAAAACTGTTTGCTCTCATTACTTCTGAGACCACTGTTTGGACACTGCATCTGGTGAATATGCTACTTCTGAAACTAGCTGGGTTCATTAGGAGACTTGGAGTATAAACCTTTGACTGAAGCATTTCTGTGTCCTTCAGATCTGGAATTTCTGTGGTCTTGGGAGTGGTGAAGGGATGGGATTTGTAAATCGTTCTGTAGACAGGTCTACTGGTGTTCCTGAAAGTTACCCTTTACTCATGTAGTTCTTTTTCCAGGGCATCTTGTAGATACTAGTCCAGCACTCAGCCCAGATAAGGCAGAGACCAAGAAAAGCCTGGAGATGCCTCGCTTAACAGAAACTTCAATAAAGGATAGGCTGGCGAAGTATCAGGCAGCTGTGTCCAAGCAGGGCAGTTCCACAGGCCTCATTACCATGGTAAGTCTGTTCTTTGGCTTGTGTAAAAGTGAAATTTTGTCCCAACCTGAGACTGGAAAGAAGATCTTATGGAAACCAGGCTTTTTGAAGATAATGCCATGTTTTGAAAAATAACTTTGTGCCCATAGGAGTCATTTCTAATGAAGAGTTGCCTCTAGATACTGTAGGAAGAAATAGGTATTTGCATCTTCCTGGAATAATGTTGAAAGTTTTCCAAGGAATTAATTGCTGGCACCCTGACTGAGGTCTTTCTGAAACATAGCTGGCATTCTTTTTCTTTCTACGTGTCTGTAGCTCTCTGCATGTTTGTTGTTGTTGTTGGGTTTTGTGTGTGTGTGTGTGTTTAAAAAAACACCCCAAACTCAATTCTGTATTGTACATGAGCTATAAGCTAGGGGAAACTGAGGCACAGTAAGGTGGAGCGACTTTCAATGTCATAACAGTGCATAGAACTTGGATTTCTTGGCCTGCAGCTTGGGGATCTCCAGTCAGCTTTCCTCCCTTTTGCTTTTTCCTCCCTTCAAGGCTTCTCACTCATTATGTGAATCCAATTAGACTCTTGCAGTGAATGAACCTGTGCCAATTTTGCAGATATTTGATCAGGAAATGAGCCATTAATGAATCATGGTGAAGTATTGCAGCTGAAGGGATTGCAAGAATCTAAGCTTTTGTTAAAAAGTGCTTAGTACATTTGCTGGAACTGTCTGATACTTTTGCTTAATGATGAGAACTTTTATTGCTTAAGTATGACTTTTATTAACCAGAGTAATAAATTTTAAGAGGATAGGCCTTTTTAAGTTAGGAAATTTGCACTGGAAATGAAAGCCAAAAATGATGGGTCTAAGCTTTGGAAGAGTGCATGCTTCCTGGGTATCTTTGCAGAGAGGCAAAAGTCTCTACACAGCTGAAATGATTTCTGAGTTTCATATGCAGTGTGGGTCTCATTCTCCAGCTCTTGGGAGGGAAGTCGAGTAAACTTCACTGCATGAATGGAAAGTAATTGCAGCCAGTGCAACAAATCAGATTAACTGCTAATTGCTGATTTCTGCATCCTGTTTCTTGCTTGGATTCAGTTTGCTAGATTGCCTTTTCCAGTTTGTGGCTCAGAGTGGTAGCAGATCCACTCAGCTATGTCCTAATGGCAAGAGGTTTACCATAGATGTCTCTTGAGACTCTTGTTTGCAAATCCCCAACGCTATCAGTTTGAGTGTCAGTCCAGCCTGATGCTCTTAGGATGTCCCATTTGGCAGAATCTCTTTCGATTTTGGCCTGGCACACCGACAAGGGCAGTACATAAGATGGAGAAGACAACGGTTTCTGAGGCCGATGTTCGCAGAACTTCTGTGTTCCAGCAGCAGCCATAACTCTTGAGTATTCTCCTTCCTGCTG